GGGAGGCCAATAAGGGGTCGCTCGAGCGGTGCAGCACAGCATGGTGACGGCTGGACTGAGGCCGTTGCCATTTTGCTGCCGTCACCCAGACAGCACACCTCCCACGACATGCGGCGGGGGCACTGTCAGGAGAGACGGCAGCAGTGGCCAGCGGACGGGAACCTTGCCCGATTCAAAGAGGTGCATCCCCACATCTCCCAACCAGTCCTCGTCCTGGGCTCACTAGCACTCTGCCAGGCACAGCACCCAGCATGAGCTCGCGTTTCCGGGCAGCACCAGCTGTTGGCATCTTGGCACCAAGGGCATGGCTGGGGCCCTACCACTGTCCCCTGATGAGAGACCCCACCCATATCCAGGCTGCACAGACCCACGTGGAGTGAGGGGGAGAGGAGGGTGACGTTATAGGACGAGAGGGGCTGCTGGGTATCATGGGTGGCCTGTGATATCTACGCGTCAAGTATCTAAAGGGGACAAAGACAGAACTGCCCCAGACTCCCCACCCCTCAAGTGGGGACCCCCATCAGCCTTATGAGTGAGGGTATTACCCTTGGAGCTCCTCACTCAGCGCAGAGGGTCCCTGGCCCTCCCTCGCCGTCCACTCTAGCAGCACTCCGTGCGTCCCCACCCAGAACGCACGGCCCTGGGATGACAGGTTCGCCTGCTCCCCTTTCGGGCTGTAAGCTCCGGGAGGAGCTCCCAGAACTCACCTGCCTTTCCCTGTTGCTCCCTCGGTGCCCACAACGGAGCCTGGCCCATAATCAGACCCCAGGAGTCCCTGTGAGGAGATCGTGAGAGGTGCTGAGGGAGAGGAAAGCGTGGGGAAGACGCCCAGATTTCCGAGGCCCCGAGAGAGGAAACACTTCTTGTCCAAGTCACAGGTGAGGCCCAAGGAGGTCACAGTTCCTGCTGGGCCTCCCCGCACACTGCACGTCTTGTCCAAGTCACAGGCGAGGCCCAAGGTCACAGTTCCTGCTGGGCCTCCCCGCACACTGCACTGAGCTCAAAGGCGGTGCTGCGACAGCCTGGCATCTCCCAGCGCATGTCCCACGGAGCGCCAGGCTCAGACTCTAGTGGGTAGCAACGGTCCACAGGGAAACACCGTGGGGAACTCCGGGTTCGACACAGGGAAAACGCTTCTTCACCATTGGACTCTCAGAGCCTTTACTGTCCTCGTGCGCATGGGATCCTCGGTGAAGGTCACAGTCGGTATCCCCCACACATCTGACCACGGAATTATGCCTTTGAAGCCCTTGGCAACATCCCCAACTGCTTGTCATGATTATTTACTGAACATGGCACAGCACACAGATTTGTTGCAACTTTTGGGGTGGTGCAAGGAAGCCCTTTTTTCACAAGTGAAAATTAATCCCAGCCCCAAAACATAAATCAAATAAAGATAAGACTGCTCTGGCTGAAGGGGGGCCATCCAGTCACTGCTGCCACACCAGGAACCCCTGTGTCCCGTGGAGCCCAGTCTGAAAACCACTGAGCACAGGCTGCCCCTTGGAGACCTGGCTTCTGGTGCGGGCCCCGCCGTGAACGGCTTTCCTTGCTCTGGTCACTCAGCCTCATTGGTCCTCAGTTTCCCCATAGACACAGTGAGCCTGGCGGACTCGATGCTCTCTGGAGTCCTGAACTTTAATCTCTGACGTGAGGAGGGCTGGGATTCTGACTGTAAAGTTCTGACTAGATGATTCTATGGTTCTTTCATCCTGCGGTGCCGTGACTTAACGTTCTGGTTCTGGGGCGGCTTATAGCCAGCCTGAGCTGGTGCAGCGCACTGGAGCCCGGCTGCGAAAGGCAGAATTCATTAACTGCAGTGCGCTGCCCAGGGGCGCCCGCTTCCCCGGGGAGGGCACGCCCCACGCAGGATGGAGGGGGCGGGGGTGGAAGGGAGGGATGGGTGGATCAGAATCAGCATCCACTCAGTGGGCAGAGCAGGGAGAAGGACCCAGGTCTCCTGACTCCTGCTCTATCTTTAGATCTCCATAGCAACCGTCGCCAGGGCACCAGAGCTGAAGGGAGGGCTGAGCTGGCTGCCTGCAGGAGGAGGGGCATTTTTGTCTGTGGCTCTTTTGCTGGAAAAAGGACTCTGGGCTGGGCTCTAGGGGAGACTGAGCGAAGCCCTTCGCAGCAGGAAAGGCCCAGGGCCAATACAAAACAAAGGTAACCCAAAGCCCCACCTCGCTCGGGGAATGGGGTCAGGTCACAGAACCCAACACCTTCCTTGTGTCAGGCTCCGGGCACTGGAGGTACAGAAGGCAAGTTCCTCCTCCAAAGAGCTCTCAGCCGCCCGTGGTCATTCCCTGTGCTTAAGGGACAGTCACTGAGCCAGCCCTGAGGCCACCCAGGGGAAGCACAGGGCATGGTCTAACGGCACAAGCCCTCTAACCTGAGGAACCGGGGGAGCTCTTCTGGCCCCTTCTCCTACCAACCCCTCCTCCTCCTGGGGCTCAGCCTGGACCAGGACTCCAGGAAGTCCTTCCTGACTCCCAGCTGGATGCTCC